AGAAAGAAAGAAAGAAAGAAAGAAAGAAAGAAAGAAAGAAAGAAAGAGTTGGAGCTAAAAATCTAACTGTTTGAGTATTCATTTCAAATATATTCTGACCTATCATCATTGAGATCTAATTTTTGTTGTGTTAAACTATCATGCTATGTTATACTGCATTATCAATACAGTGCTCAAGCTCGCTCTCTCGCTCTCTCTCTCTCTCTCTCTCCTGCTACTTTTCTCGTAACTTGGGTCCCATCAATAACAGTCTGTTACATGCCCACTAAATGAAAAGACATTCTCAGATAACCCAAAATTTCTTGACTCACACATGGATGGATTATTCATACCCTCTCCATTCTTATACTTGTTTTTTTTTATTTTTTTTAATCTTTTTTATTTTAATTTTTATTAATTACACTTTATTCACTTTGTATCCCCCCATAGTCCCCTCCCTCTTCCTCTTCCAATCCCACCCTCCCTCCCCCTTCTCCACGCATGCCTCTCCCCAAGTCCACTGATAGGGGAGGTCTTTTTCTCCTTCCTTCTGATCCTAGTCTATCAGGTCTCATCAGGACTGGCTGCATTGTCTTCCTCTGTGGCTTGGTAAGGCTGCTTCCTCCTCAGGCAGAGGTGATCAAAGAGCAGACCAATCAGTTCATGTCAGAGACAGTCCCTGTTCCCATTACTATGGAACCCACTTGGACACTGAGCTGAGCTTGGACACAGATGTACCATGGGCTACATCTATGGGGTTCTAGGTTATCTCCATCAATGGTCCTTGGTTGGAGTATCAGTCTCAGGAAAGACCCCTGGGCCCAGATTTTTTGGTTCTGTTGCTCTCCTTGTGGAGGTCTTGTCCTCTCCAGGTCTTACTATTTCCCACTTCTTTCATAAGATTCCCTGCACTCTGCCCAAAGATTGGCCATAAGTCTCAGCATCTGCTTTGATACCCTGCAGGGTAGAACCTTTCAGAGGCCCTCTGTGGTAGGCTCCTGTCCTGTTCCCTGTTTTCTCCTTGTTCTGATGTCCATCCTCTTTGCCTTTTTGAATGGGGATTGAGCATTTTAGCCAGAGTCCTCCTTAGTTTCTTTAGGTGTCTTATACTTGTTGACCTCTTATACTTGGGCGCATACTTGGGGTCTCAGTAGGAGACTTTCCTTCTCCCTTTTCTACCCTCCAAAGCTGGTTGACATTGTGCAGCCACTGGGGCACTTATCCAACCATCTACTGTTTCTTTCATGAATTCCTAGACTCGTAGCCAACTGTGTGGTAGTAAAACCGCCCAGTGTATGCTTTTCTCTGCTGTAGTTCAATTTCGTTGGTCACAGTTTTCTGTCAATTTAAGTTATATGGAATTTTACAGCTGTTGTTACAACTGTAATACTCCTTTATGGGCTGATATCAAATAACTTAGAACATGGTTTTGTATGTTTACCACAGTACCAAAATAACTTGGGGGAAAAAATGAGTTACTTCACCATGAATGAATATTTTCGTTAAATTGCATGCAGTACCAACCACTTCACAAACAAATATACTGCGATAGAAAGCTGCATCAGCCCACATGCTTCACACACTTTATTCTTTCAGTTTCCAGAAAACGTGAAAATGAAGTGTCAAAGACAATTAACAATAGGTTTCACCTAAAATCTTGTATTAGCTGAAAAGGGGAACTGGAGTGGGGGTGTTGCTCATTTGGTAGAGTACTTGCCTGGAATGGAGCCCTGGATTCAGTCTCTAGGACCATATAAGCCAGGTATGGTATTTAGACTGTAATCCCGGCACTGTGTATGTGGAGGCAGAAGGATCAGGGTCAGATCATCATTAGCCACACAGCAAACCTGCAGCCAGCCTGGGCTATATGACAGCCTATCTCACAAAGGAAAAAGTTAGGGAACACAGATTGTGTACACTGTGTGTGTCCTACCTGGGCATTAGAAAACTCCTTCTTGGGGAAAGTAATTGGAAACCACTCACCTGAAGTAGCCAATGATGAGAATGGCCACAGCCAAGGAGCCGAAAGAGATGGAGTAGCCAACAGTGTACAGGACGTACAGGCTTTCAAAGAACTCTTGCTGTAGGAAGAGACAGTCAACATACGGAAAAGACAGTGATTCAAAATGGGGAGGAGGGAGGGACTTATGGGGGGATACAAAGTGAATAAGGTATAATTAATAAAAGTTAAAAAAAATAAATAAATAAAAATAGAAAAAAAAACCTCAGTTTTGGAATGTTGTGTCTGGCTCTCTAGCTTTTATGAGCTGTAACTTACATGCAATAAAACAGACAAATCTAAGGCAAGCTGCTTGACAGGTTTTGACACACTAAATTCATTTGTACCCTTTGCCGGTTGAAAAAAAAAAAAAGCCACCCACTCACAACTGTGATTTCAATTTCTGTCACCAAAAATTAGCTTTCTCTGTTCACATGCTTCATATTCTTCCAGGTTGCTCTTGCACTTAAAAATTATAAAAATGTGTGCTCTTTTGCCAACAAACTACATTTGATGATCTTCAATACTGTTACATGAATTAAACTTCACTTTTGTTAATTTTTTTTATTTAAAATGGTAGAATCTCTTATTTATGGTTGTGAGCCTAGCCTTTTTTTAATATTTTATTATTAATTACACTTTATTCGCTTCATATCCCCCTTGTAGCTCCCTCCTTCCTCCCCTCCCAATCCGTCATTTCCTCCTCCTTCTCCACACATGCCCCTCCCCAAGTCCACTGATAAGGGAGGTCTTCTTTTCCTTCTTTCTGATCCTAGTCTGTCAGGCCACATCAGGAGTGGCTGCATTGTCTTCCTCTGTGGCCTGGTAAGGTTGCTCTCCCCTCAGGGGGAGGTGATCACTCCAACCAAGTACCATGCATGGAGAAAAGCTAGAACCCCTGCACAGATGCAGCCCATGGCAGTTCAGTCTCCCAGTGGGTTCCATAGTAATGAGAACAGGGACTGTCTCTGACATGAACTGATTGGCCTGCTCTTTGAGCCTAGCCTTTTAACGGCTAAGCCATCTCTCCTCCAGCCCTAAAATCGTAGAGTCCCTGAAAATGGAAAGTATTGTAAAAGAGGTTTCATGTACCCTCCATCCATTTTTGTATAATGGTTTTAGGTAACATAACTATACTAAGACATACAAACCAAGAACTCAACAACTATGGCAATGTGCTGACTAATACACTGTGTGATCTCATGACACGTGGACATTTTTATGACTACCACTGGGCTCGAGACACAGAAATCAAGGACCAGTGCAAAGATCCTGCTCATCTGTGGCCATGCCTACCCTCCCCATCTCCAGCATCAAACGCCTGGTAGCTTAGAAAATGTTTTCCATCATATGGTTTTGTCTTTCCATGGCGGTGTGTAAGCCAACTGATACTTTAAGAAGCTAGTCCTTGAGATGCATCCAAGTTGTCACAACCCCCACTAACTGGATGTTTTCATTGCTAAGTAATGGTATGTCCATAGCATATGTATATGCTCTTGGATCATACTTTAACAGATGATATCAATTGATTCATGTATATAGAGCATATTTTATACAGTCCTGACACACTGAGGCTAAGCACATTATTATTTTATACTGTGGTTTTTTTTTTCATTTAAAAATATTCCTGCTACCTTGTATGTTGTTTGAATGTCGTTAGAATTTTGTTTTATTATTTTGTATAGTTTTCTCAATGTTTGTTTTAGGTGTCACATTGCCTGGCTGGATGTAGAAACTATACCAGCACATGGAAAAACTTGGAATTATCAACGATCTTGTTTCCTAATTAAGCCGTTGACATTATTTGGATTTTCATTTATTCAGTTTGAACTTTTCCATGAGGCAAGTATTGTCAACTGTTTGTAAAATGTTCATGAACCTATTGTTTTAATTTTTAATTAATAGCTTTTAGAGTCAGAGAACATATTTAGGATTTCATTCAAGAAACTTATGGACAGTTAATTTTAGACTAATGTAATGCTACAAGGAACAAGAGCAAGTCAATGTACCTCCAATATACAGACTGTATTCCTTTTGGGTATGCACCCAGTAATGCAACTTCTGGATAACATGACATTCAAGTTTTGGGGTTTTTTTTTTGTTGTTTTTTGTTTTTTTTTTTAAGAAACAGCCATACTTCTTCCTATGATGGCTGTATTAATATGCCTCCTACCAGTGAATAATATATCAGGGTTCCTATCTTAAGTTCTTGCTTTTTTTTTTTTTTTGTCATTTTGGTAATAATTGTTCTAACAGATACAAGATACCTGTCATTGTAGTTTTAATTTACGTTTTCTGATTAATAATGTTTAACATGTTTCCCTATGTCTCTTGGCAGTTTGCTAATTGTCCTTTGAGAAACAGCTATTCACATCTTTAGCCTATGAAATAATTGCCTCATCTCTTATATAGAGTTGTTGTGTTCCTTGTGTATTTTAATATGTCCTTGGCGGGGTGGGGTGGGTCTTCACTCCATAGGCCAGGCTGGCTTTGAACTCCTGATCCTGCTATCCCTTCCTCTCAAATGCAGGGACTGGCAGTCTGTCATACCATATCTGGATGGATACATTCTCTCACGGCTCCCATGTGTGCTCTTCCTCTCCGGACGCTGTGTCTTCGTTCTGTTAATTATTCCCCTGGTGGTGTGGATCTCTTTTGTCTGTATTGCTGTTATTATCTATGGGTTTGGAGGCCACATCTAAAAGGTCTGATGAATTTTCCCCCCTTTTTTTCTCCTCTATTGATTTTACTCTTTCAGGTGTTACACACTTCCTTGTCTTTCTTTTTGTAACACAGGGTAACAGTCACTGTAGTCTTCAGTGTGGAGATAGGCAGCATCTGTTGAAAAGACTACCCTTTCTGCATTGTGTGGTTCTTAGCATCTTTCTCCAAACATAGCTGGCCGTGAATATGCAGATTCACTACCAACTGCTCTATTCTGTTCCATAGTTCTGTATGTCTGTTTTTATGCCAGGATCCTGCAGCTCTGGTTACTAAGTTTTGTGACGCACTTTGAAGTCAAATAATGTGATTATTCTAGCTTCATCACTCAAAATAGTTTTAGCTATTTGTGGTCCTTTGTGAGTCTGTACAAGTGTTAGAATAGTTTCATCTATTTATGTAAAAAGAAGAAGAAGAAGAAGAAGAAGAAGAAGAAGAAGAAGAAGAAGAAGTCTGTGAAGATTTTATAGGGACTGGATTGAATCTGTAGCTCAATTTGGTTATCATGGACATTTTAATGGTATTAATTTATTCAACTCATGAATGTTGACTACCTTTCTACTTATTTGTAGCTTCAATTTCTTCCATCAATATTTTATAGTCTCAGTGCACAGGTCTTAAATCCCTTGAGCAATTTATTTCTAATTATTTCATGTCATTTTGGTAAATGGAAATGAGATTATTTTCTTGTTGTTCTGCTCTTGGTAATTTATTAATGTAGGGAAGCTCTCATTTAGTATGAAGGGGGTTTTTTGTTTTGTTTTTTTTTTTTAGTCTGAAATATTACTGAGATTATTCATTAGCTCTAGCAGGTTTTTTTTTCCTTTGGATTCTGGGATTTTTCTGTAAGATTATATCATCTGCAATTACAAACAATCTTCCTTCTTTCCCAGTGTGCATGCCTTTTATTATCTCTTTCTCTCTTGCTCTGCTAGAATGTCCAGGGGTGAAATAAGTGAGAGGCAGCAAAGAACACCCTTTCTACATCTCAGGGGCTTTTTCTGCACCTGCCCCTGTGTGGCACTCCTCAGCCAGCCACCTTCTTGCTTCAAATGAAAATTCCTTTCAGCCTCTTTGTCAGGCCTCAGCCTTGTGCTCAAAGAGGCCTGTGTGTGTGGCTGGAGGATGTCTCTCTCTGTGACCAGCCTGCTACACAGTCATCATATACTTAATAAGAGTATCATGTGCCTCAAGGGATTTCTCTCATTTCCTGTGCTCTGTCCCCATGACTTCGGATAACTTACAGTTTTTATCTGCGTCAGTCCTACGTGCATCTCGAGGAACTTCTCATTATCTCTTCACTGCCTCGGCCTTTGGCATGCTTCAGTGCTGCTAACAGTAAAGGCCCCAAGGGGTCTCACTCTCACTAAGGCTTAGTCCTTGGGACTGTAACCCCTTACGGTAGCTCTTATCTGTTAAAAATTGGTTTAAAAGCTTCTATCCTCTCCTACTTTCTTTTAGCCCCTTCTGTGACATGCTTGCTTCCTTCTGCTGCAGACCCACTGATTAATGGTCCCAGGAGCCTCTACCTTCCCTTAGGGAAAAAGAAAAAGACTACCCATTGCTTGTACTGATGGGTTTCTACAAACTATTGATTTGGAAGTACAATTTAAATTATTCATACTATACATTACAACAACTAATTGTTCAATGATTTTTTTTTTTCTGTTCAGCTTCCCTACTCCAAATCTTTATAATCAGTATTGGAAATGAGCTTATGACATCTAAGGATACAACCTTTCAAGATTTTGTTTCTCTATGTTTTTTTTTTTTAATTTTTTAATTGAAATACTGTTCCATCATATACCCCCTTCCTTTCCTGCCTCATTTCCCTCCCACTTCCCCCTCGAGTTCATGGCCTACTCTTCTTAGTTCTTCTCAGCTCTTCTTAGCAGGCCATTCTTACTGCACACTCCCCCTCCCGATTCCTTCCTTCTCCTGGGGCTCAGCCTCCGTCACCAACAGCCTGTTCTATGGTCCCCATAAAGGCTGTCATGTGTGAGCTGACTACTCTCATCCCCAGCATGTGTCACTGCTGGTCTAAGTAACTGGGATGATTTAGCTGTGACTTTTAAACCACCAAATATAATGTTCTCCCGATTATGGTAACTGCACCAAACCACTCTAACAGAAAATTAGGACATGAGAGCTTCGTCCTTGACCCCGCCATCAGCAAACTGTCTCCTGGGCCCACACTGTTCTCCTGGCTCACAGTTGACTCCCATCTATGCAATTAAGGTATTGTGCTGGAAGACCTGTATGCTGATCCTTGCTCAGCATACTTCCAAGATTCTGCTTTGTCACTTAAAGTGAAATCATCCACGACAATCCTCTGCGCTGGACTACACACACTAAAATGAAAGGATCCTTCAGAAACATAGTGAGATGGGGTTCAGCATTCACAGGTAGGCAAGAATGGACTGTGAATCATGTTGCTCACTACCAATTTGTATACATACTGTAGTATTATATAATATAGAATAGTATAATGTAAAAAGCAAAATAATAAACTGTGTGTGAGAGTGAGTGTGCATAAGTCTATCCTAAGAAAAACAGGAGGAAGGTTCAGGTGCACCTAAAAGGATTCTACCAGTATTTTTATCTTTCATGATCTTTGTCACTAAATAAAAGAATTTTGTATATAATGGCTGACAGGCAAAAATTATGTGAAAACATTATTCTGCGATTTCCCTGGGGATTCACAAACATAGCAATGTCATTACCTTTCTTATGCTGATATCAGGCTGCAGAAAGCAGTCCGAATAATTAGCCCATGTTTTATTTGAGCTATGAATAAAATCCCACGTTCCATTGGGGGTACAGTGCCGGAAAGCAACTCCTGGAAAAACAAGAAAGACGCTGAGATTGCATAGTTCCCCACAAGTCTGTTATTAAACATCAAAGAAAAGAGTAAATGTCTGGTTGCCATCAATCATCTCACAAAGTTCACTACCTTTATGATTGAAGTCATAAATATAAGGAGGGCATGGCACAGCTGACATTTTCCCCACTGTTCCTCTAGGCCAACAAATGAGTCCATCCCATTCCGGGAAGCAATTGCCTTCTGATGAGAAAAGGAAATAAAGAAAGACAAGAAAACAATATTGAACAAATGCTTTTGAAACAGAAAACTTGAGCTCAGTCCTGGGGCAAAACGTAAAGCAAGCAAACCAACAAACTGACAAGTTTGGAAACTAAACCAGAAGAGAGGAGATGCAAATGTCCCCCGAAATCACCTGCTTGGCCTCTTCCTGGGCACATTACCAGGAGTCTTTGATCTGCTAAATTAAAGCATCTCAATCATTCCAGCATATTCGCTATATTTTTAGAAAGTTCTGTTGAAGAACTTGGTGCACAAGTGATTCAAGATTTAGGTTCTTGTGCTCACCTCTGACACTTCTCAAGATGAATGCTCTATGCTTCTCAAGATGCATGCACTTTCATCCTTCGTGCAAGTTCCGAGTCCATCACACTGGACTTGGATGAGTTTTCAGCAGGCTATTCTTACTTCTTATTCCCTCTCCCTATTCCTTCCTTTTCCTCCAGCCCCTCCCCCAGCTCCTTCTCCTCCTCTTTTTCTCCCCACCCGGAACCCTCTCTAGGACACTTTTCTGCAGCTCTCCCCACCATGGTCCTTGTGCTTCTGGAGATTAGCTGTGGAAAGCGTGGGGAATGGACATGTTAGGATAGAACCAAAGACTGTCTAGAGAAGGCTGGACCGTGCCCAGGTCCCACTCAGACACAGGATGTTCCTGCAACATATTGGGTGTTCCCTGCATTATACATCCCGGAGTCAGAAGCTTTCTGGGGTGCTTCAGCAGTTTGGAAAGTGGTAGATCTTCAGTAGAGTCCACACAGCCCCAGAATATCCCTCAATCTCAGCCACAAGCCACAGTTTCATGATGAATCCTTGGCCGCTCCTGTCCTTGCTGCCTGTTTAGCAGGTAAAGCTACTTCCTGCTCCCTGGTATATTCCCTGAGTGTTCCATCTTACCTGATTCAAACACTTGGTACCAATGGTACGTTCACATTCACGCTTATCACAGTAGCCACCAAATTCCCCCGCCCCCACCTCACTGAGCCTCAGTCTACTTCTTGGCCATGTCTGAAGATCCTAAGGATCTGCCTTCCTCCAGGATATGTCATGGAGATGTTCAGGTTCTTGCTCTTCATGGGTTTCTAAATCACCTCAATACTCCTTCTTTTCCCTCCTCCAGACTCTTTCTCAAGTGTCAATTTCTAAGGAAACATTCCCAGTCTAAAACTGCTTCTCACTCATATAGACATACAGCATAGGACAAACCCACTAAAATCTGTGCATCTAAAGAAACTAAGCAAGAGAGAGGACCCTAACTAAAATGTTCAATCCCCATCCTGAAAGGCAAAGAGGATTGACATCAGAAGAAGAAGAAAAAAGGAAACAACCTAGGAACCTGCTACAGAGGGCCTCTGAAAGCCAGAAGAAGAAAACAGGAAACAAACTAGGAACCTACCACAGAGGGCCTCTGAAAGCCTCTGCCTTGCAGACTATCAAAACAGATGCTGAGCCTGATGGCCAACTGATGGGCAGAGTGAATGGAATTTTATGTAAGAAGTGGGAAATAGTAAGAGCTGGAGAGAACAGGAACTCCACAAGGAGAGCAACAGAACAAGAAAATTTGAACACAGAGAACTTCCCAGAGACTCATACTCCAACCAAGGACTATTCATGGAGATAACCTAGAACCCCTGCACAGATGTAGCCCATGGCAGGTCAGTGTCCAAGTGGGTTACATAGTAATGGGAAGAGGGACTGCCTCTGACATAATCTGATTGGCCTGCTCTTTGATCACCTCCCCCTGAGGGGGGAGCAGCCTTACCAGGCCACAGTAGAGGACAATGCAGCCACTTTTGATGAGAACTGGTAGACTAAGATCAGAAAGGAGAGGAGAACCTCCCCTATCAGTGGACTTGGGGAGAGGCATGCATGCAGAAAGGGGAGGGAGGGTGGGATCGGGAGGGGAGAAGGGAGGGGCTTATGGGGGGATACAAAATGAATAAAGTGTAATTAATAAAAAATTTTTAAAAAGTTAAAAAAAAACTGCTTCTCCACTCACCACTCCCTTGTCTCCTGCTGTCTTTCCTTCACAGTTCTCAACACCTCCTAATGTTATATGGTTTTTTTTTTCCTATTGTTTTCTTAAGTCACAGGATTGAAGAAAGCCAAGAGTGGAGCTCCTTTCACCGTTCTGTCTCATGCATTAGCCATGCTGCTTGCACAGCCCCTGACACTTACGGTAGTTTAACAAATGCTCACTGACAATGCTGTGCTCCCTGGGGCTTTTTTCCTTTGGTCATACACTGAACTTCCAAGAAGAAAGCTTGTCAGCCACGTCACACCCCCACTTCCCGAACGGAGACGCTTGCTATGAATACTGCATTCATTTCCTATGGCAAATTTCACAGTTTTGAACAAGCTCTGAACCCTGCCTCAGTAGGGCCTTTGCTTATGAACTCATGAGGACAAAACCAGGAGCTGGCAGGGCCGTGTTCTCTTCTGGAGACTGTGAAGGTGAGCATATTTACTTGCTCAGTTCAGTAGTTAGCAGAGTTCAGTTCCTCCACTGTAAAGCTGGTTTCTTTCTGGCTGTTGGCAGTGCTCTTGCCCAGCCTCTGAAGGCTGTTCACATAACTGTCTTCTGACCTCCTTCCTCCCTGTCACAGTCAGCAACACAGACTGGATGGATCCTTCTCAAATTTTGAATCCCACTCTGCTCCCCATCTCTTACAGCTCAACCGATTCAGCCACTTTCTTCCTCCATCTTTCAAGATTATGTTCTGTCAATGGAGATAATCCAGAATAACTTCCACATTTTAATGTGCACAAGCTTAACTCCATTTACAACATCGCTTTTGGCTATGTAGCATTCTTGGTCATTACACCGTGTGCCAGCAGTGGATATCTTTAGGGGCTTCGTTACTCTACCACAAGTACTAGCTAACACTGGTCATGTTCAGTTGTTTGGTTTGAAATCAGCCCAGAGGCCTTCTGTGGAAGGCTCCTGTCCTGTTCCCTATCTTCTCCTACTTCTGATGTCTATCCTGTTTGTCCTTCTGAATGAGGATTAAGCCTCTTCCCTAGGGTCCTTCTTGTTGTTTAGCCTCTTTAGGTCTGTGGATTTTAGTATGTTTATCCTATATTATATGCACAGTATCTGCTTATAAGTGAGTATATGCCATGCCTGTCTTTCTTCTTTGGGGTTACCTCATTGAGAATGTTCTTTTCTAGTTCCATCCATTTGCCTGCAAATTTCATGATTTCCTTGTATTTAATTGCTGAATAGTCTTCCATTGTGTAAATGTACCACAATTTCTGTATCCATTCCTAAACTGAGGAACATCTGGGTTGTTTCCAGATTCTGGCTATTATGAATAAAGCTGCTGTGAACACAGTTGAGCAAGTGTACTTGTTGTGTAGTGGGGCATCTTTCGGATATATGCCCAGGAGTGGTATAGCTGGATCTTGAGGAAGCACTATTCCTAATTTTCTGAGAAAGTGCCAGATTGATTTCCAAAGTGGTTGTACAAGTTTGCATTCCCACCAGCAATAGAGGAGTGTTCCCCTTTCTCCACAACCTCTCCAGCATGTGTTGTCCCTTGAGTTTTTTATCTTAGCCATTCTGATAGGTATAAAGTAGAATCTCAGGGTTGTTTTGATTTGCATTTCCCTGATGACTACAGACATTGAGCATTTCTTTAAGTATTTCTTTCCCATTCGATATTCCTCTGTTGAGAATTCTGTTTGGCTTTGTATCCCATTTTTTCTATTTTTTATTTATTTTTAATTAATTTATTTTTTTATTAATTACGGTTTATTTACTTTGTATCCCAACTATCCCTCCCAATCCCACCCTGCCTCCCTCTTTTCTACCCATACCCTTCCCCCAGTCCACTGATAGGGGAGGTCCTCCTCCCCTTCCATCTGATCCTAATCTATCAGGTCTCATCAGGAGTGACTGCATTATCTTCCTCTGTGGCCTAGTAAAGCTGCTCCCCCCTCAGGAGAAGGTGATCAAAAGCAGGCCAATCAGTTCATATCAGAGACAGTCCCCATTCCCATTACTAGGGAACCCACTTGAACACTGAGCTGCCATAGACTACATCTGTGCAGAGATTATAGGTTATCTCCATGCATGGTACTTAGTGGGAATATCAGTCTCAGAAAAGATCCTTGTGTCCAGATTTTTTTTCTCTCCTTGTGGAGCTCCTTCCCTGCTCCAGGTCTTTCTAGCTCCTTCTTCTTTCATAAGATTCCCTGCACTCTGCCCAAAGTTTGGCTGTGAGCCTCAGCCTCTGCTTTGATACCCTGCAGGGTAGAGCCTTTCAGAGTCTCTCTGTCTTCTCACTCTTTTGATGTCCATCCCGTTAGCCTTTTTGAATGAGGATTGATCATCTTACCCAGGGCCCTCTTTCTTGCTTAGCTTCCTTAGGTGTACAGATTTTTTAGTATGATTATCCTATATTATATGTCTAATATCCACTTACAAGTGAGTATATGCCATGTGTGTCTTTCTGCTTCTGGGATACCTCACTCAGAGCCTTCCTCCATTGCTGGTATGACTGTAAACTTGTAAAACCACTTTGGAAATCAATCTGGCACTTTCTCAGACAATTAGGAATAGTGCTACCTCACGATCCAGCTATACTAGTCCTAGGCATATATCCAATATATGCTCAAGTACACAACAAGGACGTTTGCTCACCATCTTTATTTGTAATAGCCAGAAGCTGGAAACAACCCAGATGTCCCTCAGTTGAGGAATGGATACAGAAATTGTGGTACATTTACACAATGGAATACTACTCAGCAATTAAACACAAGGAAATCATGAAATTTGTATGCAAATGGTGCAAACTCGAGTGAGGTATCCCATTTTTCAATTGGATTACTTAGTTTGTTGGTGTTTAATTCTTCAGTTCTTTATATATTCTGGATGTTAGCCCTCTGTCAGATAAAGGGTTGGTGAAGATCCTTTCCTAGTCTGCAGGCTGGTGTTTTGTTCTGTTGATAGTTTCTTTTCCTTT